AGCTATGACTGATGACACCACTGCACTCTAGCCCAGGCAACAGAGCTTCTTTAAAAAAAAAAAGAAAGAAAGAAACAAAAGAAAAAATCAAAGGGTAGATTCAAACTCAACCATATTAATACATGTATTAAATATTAATAGATTAAACACTCCAATGAAAAATCAGAGATTACAGAAAGGACAAAAAAAAAAAAAAAAAGACCCAGCTACATATATGCTGTCTACAAGAGACTCAATGTAAATATGAAGACAAACTGAGAATAAATAGCTGTAAAAAGATATAGCATGTAAACAGTAAGCATAGGAAAGCTGCAGTGACTAATATCAGATAAATGGATTTCAAAACAAAATGTATAGAAATAGAAAGGAAAACTTCACAATGAAAGAGCCAGTTCAAGAGGAAAACATAACAGTCATAAATTTATATGCACCCAATAACAGCTTCAAATACATAAAGCAAAAATTGACAGATTAAATTAAAAGGGAAAATAGAGAATTCCACAATCATAGTTGGAGATTTTAGCACCGACTGGTAAAATGAGACCAAAAAAAAAAACCCACCAAAGACATAGATCTGAACACTACCAGTCACTTGATTGACATTTATAGACTACTATACCTAATGACGTCAGAATATATACTCTTTAAATGTAAACAGTACATTTGCTAGGAAATACCACATATCCTCAAATTTTAAAAATTGTCAAAGATTGAAATTAATGGAGTATATTTTCTGACCAAGATGGAATTAAATTAGAAGTAACAATAAGATAGCCCAGCAACTTCCCCAAATATTTGGAAATAAATAACACCCTTCTATATAATCATTGGGTCAAAGTAGAAATCACAGTAGAAATTAGAAAATGTTTTGAACTGAATAATAAGGAAAATATGATAACATATCAAAATTACTGAGATGCAGCTAAAGCCATGTTTAGAGAAAGGTTTATACTTCTAAATGTTTCTGTCAGAATAGAAAAAGATCCCAAATTCAATGACCTAAGCTTCCACCAGAAGAAATGGGAAATGGTTGCAAATTACAGGCATACGTCATTTTATCGTGTTTCACAGATACTGCTTTTCTTTCCCCCACAAATTGAAGGTTTGTGGCAACTCTGCCTCAAGCATGTCTCTCGGTGCCATTTTTTCAACAGCATGTGCTCATTTTGTGTCTTGTCTCTGTGTCACAGTTTTTCTCACAATATTTCAAACTTTTTCATTATTATTATCTCTGTTATAGAGATCTGTGGTCAGTGATCTTTGATGTTATTCTTATAATTGTTTTGGGGTTACCACTTAATCGATAAATGTTGCGTGTTCTGACTGTTCCATGGACCTGCCATTCCCCACCTCCTTTTTGGGCCTCCCTGTTCCCTGAGACAAACAATATTGAAATTAGGCCAATTAATAACCCTACAGTGGCCTCTCAGTGTTCAAGTGAAAGGCGGAGTCGTGTGTCAGACGACAAAAGCCAGAAATGATTAAGCTAGTGAGGAAGGCATATGGAAAGCCGAGATAAGCCAAAAGCTGGGCCTCTTGCACCAGTTAGCCGAGTTGTGAACGCAAAGGAAAAGTAGTTCTTGAAGGATATGAAAAGTGTTCCTCCAGTGAACACATGGTAAGAAAGGGAAACAGTCTTACTACTGACATGGAGAAAGTTTTAGTGGTCTGCTTAGAAGATCAAACCAGCCACAACATTCCCTTAAGTCAAAACCTAATCCAGAGCGAGGCTCTAACTCCCTTCGATTCTGTGAAGGCTGAGAGAGGGGAAGAATCTGCAGAAGAAAAGTTGGAAGTGAGGCTGGTTCATGAAGTTTAAGGAAAGATGCCGTCTCCATAACATAAAAGTGGAAGGAGGAACAGCAAGTGCTGGTGTAGAAGCTGCAGCAAGTTATCCAGAAGATCTAGCTAAGGTCATTGATAAAGCAGCCAAACTAAACAACAGATTTTCAATGTAGACCAAACAGCCTTCTACTGGAAGAAGATGCCATCCAGGACTTTCACTGCTAGAGAGGAGAAGTTAATGCCTGGCTTCGGGGCTTCAGAGGACAGCCCCATCTCTTGTTAGGGCCTAATGCAGCTGATGACTTTAAGTTGAAGCCAGTGCTCACTTACTTTGCCAAAAATCTTAGGGCCCTTAAGAATTATGCTAAGTCCACTCCACCTATGCTCTATAAATGGAATAAAGCCAGGATGACAGCACATCTGTTTACAGAATGGTTTACTGAATATTTTAAGCCCCCTGTTGAGACCTACTGCTCAAAAAAAAAGATTCCTTTCAAAACATTACTGCTCATTGACAATGTACCTGGTGACCCAAGAGCTCTGATGGAGATGTACAAGGAGATTAATGTTGTTTTCATGCCCGCTCACATAGCATCCACCCTGCAGCCCATGGATCAAGGAGTAATTTTGACTTTCAAGTCTTATTATTTAAGAAATACATTTCATAAGGCTACAGCTGCCATAGGTAGTGATTGCTCTGATGGAGCTAGGCAAAGTCAATTGAAAACCTCTGGAAAGGACTCATCAGTCTAGATGCCACTAAGAACACTCATGATTCATAGGAGAAGGTCATAATATCAGCATTAACAGGAGTTTGGAAGAAGTCGATTCCAACCTTCATGGATGAGATTGAGGTGTTCGAACCTTCAGTGGAGGAAGTGGTAGGAAGAGCAAGAGACCTAGAATTACAAGTGGCGCCTCAAGATGGAACTGAATTGCTGCAATCTCATAATATTTTAATGGATGAGGAGTTGCTTCTTATGGATGAGCAAAGAAAGTGGTTTCTTGGGATGGAATCTATTCCTAGCAAAGACGCTGTGAACATTGTCGAAATGACAACAAAGGGCTCAAAATATTACATAAACTTAGCAGATAAAACAGTGGCAGGGTTTGAGAGGATTGACTCTAATTTTGAAAGAAGTTCTACTCTGGGTAAAAGGCTATCAAACAGCATGGCATGCTACAGAGAATCTTTTGTGAGAAGAAGAGTCATTCAATGCAGCAAACTTCATTGTCATCCTATGTTAAGAAATTGCCACCTCAACCTTCAGCAGTCACCACCCTGATTAGCCATCACACTCAAGGCAAGACCCTCCACCAGCAAAAAGTTACAACTCAGTGAAGGCTCAGATGATCCTTAGTATCTTTTAGCAGTAAGAGCAACAAATGGCATGACATAGAAGTGAGAGGAAGGAGGGGGAAGGCAGGGCCAGGGCCCAGCATGGGTGCCAGAAATGGGGTTCCCAGTATATACATTGTTTTCTTAGTCAGTGCTATTGCATATGCACACTTAACAGACTACAGTATAGTGTAAACATAACTTTTATTTGCATTTATATATGAAACCAAAAAATTTGCATGACACATATTATTGTGCTAGATTTATCGTGGTGATATGGAACCAAACCAAAACTATCTCCGAGGTATGCCTGCTTCTCCAAAGTAAACAGAATGAAGGAAATAACAAAGCGCACAAATGGACAAAACTGATAGCTTCTGGCCAGACTGATCAAGAAAGAGAGGAGAAACTATCGATCTGTATTGGCAACGAAAAAGGAAGCATCACTACAGACCCTTCAGATGTTAAAAGTCTCTGAAGTGCATAATTTGAACCATATGCCAACATATTGAACAATTTGGATGAAATGGATATTTGGAGCTGTAGAAATAGTATTAGTAAGTGCAAAAGTCTGAAGGCCCCAGGACAGGTGGTGCAGTTAGGGGCTGGAGTAGGGGCTGTGGACAGGATGGCGCTGTCCATGCAGCAAGTCTGACAGTGGAGGGTCAGACAGGTTGTGCTGACCAGAGGGCAATGGGGAGGCACGTAGACGTTCTGGGCAGAGAGGTGTCCTGGTTAAGTTTGTACTTCGAAGAAAAGCCCCCCAGCTGCTTCTGTGTGGAGAGGTAGTATTGTAGGGAGGCTGGTGCCACTGTCTAGGGGAGCCGACCTGAAGCCCAGGGAACAATGGCAGGGCACGGGGGTGAGAGGGAGCAAGAGGGCAGAGGGGGAAGGCAGAGCAGGGCCTAGAGCCTGGTGTGGGTGCTGGAAATGGGGCTACTGGAGACAGTGGAGGCCGGGGCTGAGGCTCTGGTCCCTGGCCTGCAGAGTGCATGACGCCCAGTGCCCGTTTTCCTGCCTCAGCCCCTGCCAGGAAGGCCTCATGCATACCCCTGTGGTTCAGAAAACAATGCCGAGGTTCAGCAGAGACCCTGCCCTGCTGAGGCCAGGGGAACTCACAGCCTAGACACGTTCCCGGCCATCTCCACCTCAAACACCAACCCCAACAGCAGACGGGCTACGTCCATGTGAGGACGCTTGGCCTGGTGAGCATGGGGTAAGCCCAGGAAAGGGTCTCAAGAAGCCAGGACCCTGATGCAAGGATGTGATCAGAGATGCAAGGACAGGAAGGAAGCAGGGCTGGAGTAAACATCAGCCTCCTGCCCGAAGGTTAGTGCCTGCTGCCTCAGTTTCCCACCTGGGCAGTGGGGAGAGCACGCCTGGTCTAACAGAGCGGCCATGAGGATTGACTACGAGGGAGCACAGCGCCTGCCGACCCCACCCTGGACTCTCCCAGGCCCAGGCTGCACAAGGCTGCCCCCACCCTGTCTCACTGACTGCAGCCCCTCTGATGCCCCCAATAGGGCTTTCTCTTCACCTCTGCTCAGGCTGTTCCTTCTCCCTGCGCCTGTTTCTCTCACAGACCAGGCAGGCGTTGCCAAACTGGAGTGGCCCCCTAGCCTCCCTGTCTGGGTCAGGGGCCTCCCTTGGGCTCATGCAGCCCGAGTGCTCCCACACTTAGGATGACAGTGAAGACGGCTGCTGTTTGCATGGCCACAGAGACCCCTCCTTGGAAGCAGCAGGTGGGGGCCTGTGTCACCAGCGCCTTCTGCTCAGGACAGGCCCTGTCGCACCCCAGCTCCGCACCTACCCATCTCTAAGCCTCAGTTTCCCCACCTGTGGGTTAGGGTGCTGGCACCCCCCTCCCCACACTCACCCAGCAGGCTCTGCCGCTCCTCTTTCTTCCGGGCCTTCTGCTTGGCCTCCAGCTGCACCACCGACAGGGACGGCCCCGCTGCAGGGCTGGGGAGCGCGCTGGCTGCAAAGCGGGCCAATAGGCCCAGCCCGCTCTCCTCCAGGCCTGGCGACAGGGCCCGCTCCCGGGCGCCCAGCCTGGAGCTGCCACCGGCCTCGTCCTCCTCCTCCTCGAGCTCCTCCTCCTCGTCCTCCTCGGAGCTCTCATCTGGCGTGCAGAAAACAGGGGCGAGTCAGAGCCCTGGCCTCGGCGCATGCCGCCCCCACCACCCCCAACCCAGAGCGGCCACCGGGCTCCAGCCTAGCCCCTCCGTCCTCACCACGGGGCCGCTCAGGGTGGATCCAGAACCAGCCCACAAGTGCCCCTGATGGCCCAATGCCCCCGTCAATGGAGCCCAAGATGTGGGCATCCTGGCTTTGGGTACCAGGGTGGGCTTCTGTAAGGGGGGCACCAACATGCACCTGTGCTGTGGGCAGGGGCCAGACACACGGACACAGACTGGAGACAGCTCTCTCCACGGTCTCACACATACACGCCCCGACACACGACATGGAGGCCAAGGAGGAGGCAGGAGAGGAGGAGGAGGGAGGAGGCGGAGGGGGGTGGGAGGGCCCTCGGGGCTCGGGCTGGGCTTTGGGCACAGGCACCAGTGGCAGTTTTGCCAGCCTGAGGCCTGGGTGCTGGCGGCAGGAGAAGGTGGAGTTTGGTCTCTTCCTAGGGGCTGGGGGACTCCCACAGTTCAAGCCCTGAGCAGGGCTCTGGAGCCCAAAGTTGACTCCCAGCAGCACTCCCATGCTGGGAAGCCTGAGGCAAGTCCCCAGCCCTCTCTGAGCCCAGTTTCTCATCTGCAGCAGGGGGCAACCCTCCCAGCCCACTGGCCCAGCTAAAGGGAAGGTCCAAAGAAAATCACAGGTATGTAGGAAAAAGCCATCTGCAGGCTTGAAGAGAATCAAACAGAAACAGGGCCACCCCCTGTGACCTGCAGAAAGGAACCTGCAGCTGGCCACTCCTCCTGACTCACAGGGAGCCAAGAAGGGGCAGGTGGGTCAGGCCACTTCGCCCTAGGCCGAATGAGGCTCTACGGGGTGAGGCACTCAGGCAGCAGGGCAGGACTCGAACCCAGCGCAGGCTGGTGGCTAAAGGGCCCGGCTTGTCTCTCTAGTTGGTGAATAAAGACAAGCTTCTCCCCAGCGACTGGCCCTGCTAGCCTGAGGGCCCACACCCCCTGACCCAGCTCGGGCTCTAGGGACAAAGGCAGGATGGGCAGCAAGCAGGGACAATGACACTCCCTGTCCATGAACCAAATTCCCGCCAAAGAAAGGGGAGACTATCTGAGGGTCTGAGGCACATACTTGCTTAAGAACTTCCTAGGGAGAGAGCTGGCTCACCTCTGACGGGTACGGGCAGGCAAGCGGCATCAGAGAGCTAACTGCCCTGAGATGCCAGGGCCAAGGGCATGGCCTAGGCCAGGCTGGATGGCCACCCTATCCAGCAAGAAGCGGCGGGGGTGCCATGCTCTCTCCAGGGCAGGGACAGCCTGGGCTCTGGGAGGTGGACAGGGAAGACGGAAGGCCAACTCCACGTTCTCCTGCTGATGCCCCAAGCCACCCACTTGCTTAAGTGCAATTAGTGGCCAAAGTGGCAGCCCCAGGGGTGCCAATGCAGGCAGAGGGTCTGTCTACCCATTTATCAGAGGGAGCCCTCGGAGCAGGAGGCAGTGACAGAGATGGCTTGAGGAGTCTGCACAGGGCTGGAGGGAGGGAGGAGCCAGAGAGAGAGAGAGGAGGTTAAGAGGGTGAGAAGCCGGGAGACTGGCCCCCAGAGCGATGGATGGAGCAGGCTGGAGAGGCCAGCGGGGCGGCAGGGGCAGCAGGCAGTGCACACTTGCGGTCATTCACATTGCGGACATCACATGGTTCTGTCTCCGCCCCAGTGGGCCACAGCGGCAAAGCAGGCTAAGTGTAGGCAGACTTTCGACAGCGCCTGGGTCTCCCACATCCGGCCTCCCTGGGGTTGGCCAATCTGAGCAGGATGGTGGGCAGGGGGCTGGCTGGGGTGGGGACACGGGTTGGACGTGTGGCCAGGAATTTTCCCTTCTAAAGACACCCTGCCCTGGCTGCTCAGGTGTGGAGACTCCAGAACTCCAGAAGGACTCTTAACCAGCAGGGCCTGGCAGAGGAGGGCAGAGCCCACTGGGTTCTGGATTCTGCCTACAATGTCCGCATCAGAGCCTAGAAAGCCAGCCACAGGCCGACCCCAACACCCTGGAACGCAAGACCCTCCGCCTCCCCGCGTGCCTGACCAGGCCACACCAGCTGCTCCCGCAGGGGCTGGGGTGCTCAGGCCAGGGTCCACGGGGGCAGGGATGTGGAGAGGGTCTGAGAACCCAGAAAGCCTTTCTGGAGTTGTCCACACCTGAGGTGACAGAGCTTGCCAAGGGTAGGGGAGAAAAAGTCCCAACAAAGAACCCCAAGGAAATGCAGAAAAACTTCATTTTATTAAAAAAAAATCTTGGCTCATGACATGGGGTTGGCTGTTACGACTTGGTTTGGTTTTCCAAAACCTAGTAAATGTCAAAGCGATCTGCTGCTGCCAGACCCGGTGGGGGCAAACCCCGAGGAGGGGAGGTGTACAGAGGACAGAAAGAAAAGGGTTTTGCCTACCTACGGAGCAACGAGCCAGGCTCGGACCCAAGCTCAGTGACCCGCTGCGCCGTCTGCCCTACTCCCAGCCTTCGCTTTGCGTCCAGAGTGCAGCGTGAGAGCAAATGCAAGAGACCGAAACAGACATTCAAAGCATCATGGGTAGGGGTCAAGGGTGAAGGTATGGTCAGGCTGCTGGGAGGAGAAAGCAGACACACTAGAAAAGCCAAGCCAATTATGTGTTTTAGTACCAGGGGTCAGTAAGGCCCTATTACCCAAATATCCCTTTTGAAACCTGATCAGTGGTCTGCTTGTAGGAGAGGACAAGCCAAGGGGCCTGAGTGCCCTCCCCAACCCCCTCTGCTACCCAGGCTCTGGCCGCTGGCACCGCAGCATCCAGCCTGAGCACACTCTGGGCAGATGGCCCCTTCCTGAGAGGTCTGGGGACGGGGGTCCGGGGGCGAGGGGCGGGGGGCCTGCCTACTTCTCTGGGGGGGCTGAGCTGGGGCAGGATTCCAAAAACTTGGAAGCGGGATCCTGGCTTTATGGGTGTGTGGGGTAGGGGGCACGGGCATGCAAGCCCAGCTGGGGGAGGGAGGAGGTCATGGAGGGAGGGGGAAGGTAAACCAACCAGCTCCTTCACAGGAGGCCGGGGCAGGGAGGCCTCGGGAAACGAGGCTGGCTGGCCAGTTAGTGGCCTCTCTTCTCGGCCCAGGTTGCGTTTGCTCAGATGGGCAGCAGCCAAGGAGGATGTGACCCCGTGAGCCCGAAGGGCAGTGGGCTCCCTGCTGTGCCATTTCCTGGTCACCCAAAACCCATCTTGGCCAATTTGGAGGGGAAGTCTGGGAGGGGAGATGGTAGACCAGAATTCGAGAGCAAGGCTGGGAAACGGGAGCGGCGTTCCGGTCCCCGGGGCCCAAGCCAAGTCATGTCCAGGTGCCCCGTGACACCCCTGGGCCTTCCTCAGGGAGCAGCTGACATCCGGGTGTTGCTACCCAGGGCCCTGGGGATCCCCAAGGCCTGGCCCTAGAGGGAGTCCGCCTGAAGCAAACCCTAAAACCAGGGCTGGGAAATGCTCTCAAGGATTCACTTGCTTCCCCTTCTTGGCACATTTCTGATTGAAGGGCCCGAAGGGCTCAGACATTTCTAACTTCAGAAGTACGATTCCGCCATTGGAGCAGTCAGAGCCAGAATGTTCTCAGAGGTCCTGGGGTCTGACTGTCTTTTTATGTGAGGTGGCTGAGGGGCCCTGGCCAAGCTGAGGCCAGATCAGGCCTGGGACCGGGCCAGCGCTCTCTCTGAAGCACTGTGCCTTGTCCTCAACGTGGCAATGAAGCCAACACTTTGAAATTTAATGAAACCAGGGATGTCAAGAGGTCTCGACCTTGCTCTGCCTACGTGCCCTTCAAAACAGAAATACGTGTTAGAAGACAAGTGTTTATAAACAATTATTTTTTAAGCACTGGTGAATAAGAACAGAGCTTTAAGAAAATAAAAGACAAACAAGCAACCAAAAAAAAAAGATGGTGCTGGAGGTGAAAGCAGTTGACTTTAAACCTGAAAATGGAATGAATGCCCACAGCTACCAGGGATATTTGGATAATAGCGGCAAGCGGCAGGCTGCGTTACCCGTCTCTACTCCTTCTGGGTGGTGGGGGAGGGGAGGGGGAGGAGGAACAAAATGGAGGGAGCGTCAACCTAATGTCTAGTAAGGACACAGCAAGAGAGACAAGGCACACGGGTTTAGTTAAAAATGAACTCGATATGTTTAATAAAGCTTGGTATTACCAAAATCGAGGTACAAACATCAAGTCACACGCCCACACGACAGAATTCCATTTACAAAATGTCCCTCAGGAAGCCTCCGCCGGGCCCATGCCAAAAGAGAACCCAACCCAAGCCCGGGGTCTAGGTGGGCGGAGGGTGGGCAGGCGCTCGGGTCAGGGGGAGGGCAGAGAGGAAGGAGAGTGGAGGAAGGTGAAAACTAAAAACCAGTCCATATAAAAGCTCAAAAAGAGCTAGCCAAGGGTGTTATCACAATGATACAGTACAAAGAAAAACAAAAATAAAAATAATCGGGCTGATACAGCAGGCTACGCTGCCAAGAACCCAGATGGCTGCCCTTCCTGCGGCCATCGGGGTGGACGGCCCCCGCACGGCCATCTCTCCCGTGCGCTCGCTCTCCCCTCGCACTCGCTCTCACTCTCACGCACGCTCGCTAGAAAACACGGAGGGTATTTTGTGTTTGGAGCTAGTAACCTTGGTCAAACGAGTCCTCCGAAGAGTCGCTGAAGGAGGAACGGGCCTCGGCCTCTCGGAGCAGCAAACAAAACGGCTGCTTCCTGCTGGCGGCAGGCTTGGGTTTCAGAGTCCGGGGGGCCACTAGGCCCCTCTTGGTCAGCTTGGGGCCGCCGGCCGCCTTGCTGCTCTTCGCCACCACGCCACACAGGATGGAGGACGTCAGCTTGGAGCCGGAGGGGCCTTGGGCAGACCACTCGTCCTTCAGGAACTCTTCATCTTCCTCTGAGTCCGTATCTGCAGTCAGAGTAGTTTTTAATACAGATAAGTCACAGAGCACCGGGGAGGAGGGAGGGGCTGGTGACTTCATTCTATTGTCTTTAGTGGTTCTGAGAACACACTGGAAAATGCCAGAACAGAGAGGTCCAGAGCTGCACTCAATGCCACGAGCTCCCCTCCCAGGCCGCGCCTCTGGCCTCGCACCTGCAGGCCTTCGGTGCCGCACGGCTCGCCTTCCGAGCGCCACCACCCGTCACTCAGCCTTTCCCGGCACTGGGGGAGGGAGGAGGCCCCCTCTCAGGAATGACTCTCTCCTGGTCATGGTGGTCACTGCCACGGCAGTTCCCCTCTGTCCCTGGGACTGCACACGGCCCAGGGGTGACTACTGGGGAGGGACCTGACCTGGGGGGAAGGCTCAAGAGAGCCAATCGTGCACTTCTCCTCCCAACTCCCCACTCAGCTCAAAGCAGCAGCGGTGAGGGCATTCACACCAAAGAGACTGACAAATGATGCTAAAAGCAGGGACTGCCCTGCCCTCCACAGGTCAGAGTCGTTCACCTGCACACCACTTCTGGCCCCCCACAAGCCTCCGTCTAACTACGCAATTGAGGACAAGGGACTTCAAACCCTCCTGGGACAGGACCAACCAGCTTTGGGGAGGGGAGCCTGTCGAGTGGGCACAGCTCTGCCTCCTTCTAAACCCACCCCAAACATACACCATTTTAACCTGTTCTTCGTATTGGGCTGTTGAGCACGATGGGAAGAAAGAGCTCCACAGCCACAGACTTAAGCCCTTGATCTGCTAAAATCCACTCCAAACAGGAGGAACATTAACCAACAGCTACCTACAGCTTTGGCAACGCCTGCCGCCACCAAGTCCAAAAGACACTACACACATGGCGGGGGCGGGGAGGGGGGTGCGCATTGGCGGGGGTCCTCTGGCTGCTTCCACCAACATCTGCACTTTCCACTCCAACAAAGAGCACAACTTCGATGGTCTGGCAACTCCAGGGCGGAACAAGGTAAAGTCCCACCAAGCTGCCAGCCCCGTGCCGGCCCGCTAGCCAGTTATCCTTCGTGTATGCCAACCCGTCCCTCCCAAAGCCACATCCCAGGCTGGAGATGCCGGTAGGTGACAACAAACTTGGCTTCCCAAAAGAACCCTCGGGGTGTGCCACCACCCCCTACAACCCAAAGTGAAAAAGCAAGAGGGCATCCCTCTCGCTTTGACCCCATGCAGCACAGCATCTCTCTGCTGGAAGACAGCCCCGCCTCTTTGTGACCCTGCTCTCTTGTGACCTAGAGTTGCAGAAAAGCAAATTGTAAAAAATAAATAAAAGTGCTCTCTCTGCAAAGCCAGGTACATATCACAGCTAGTCTACAGGAGGAGACAGGCTCACTCACTTTCTTATTGCAACATTAGCCTACTTCTCTCCCCCAGACGGTGGAGTTTTTAGACAAAGGCATAACAGAGTCTGACTGGCAATTTGAACATTCCCTCACACACGCAAGAGCACACACAGCCCTGCTGCAGTGGACTCATCAGCTCGTAGCACCCCAAAGACTTCAGGGGCTGAGCTCATCTCTGACCTCTAGCTCCAGTACATGCACGCCCACCTGCAAGTAGGGGAGTGGGGGACTCTTCCAGCAACCAGCCAAGCCACACTCACAGATCCCTCACCCTTGGCAGATCAAAAGAGCAGCAATCCTCTTTGCCTCTTCACTATTCCAAAATGAGCAGCGATGGAAAGAGCAAAGGAAAGCCCTCTCCCCCTTCCACTGATACTGTTTCTCTCCACTGTGTCCACATGCTGGCCAGGGACCTGGTCAGTGCTGCTCTGATCACACCCATCCCAACTGGAGGGGCACAGAAGCTACAGCAATCTCACATGTCCTCAGCACACAAAGCACAGCTGCTTGCCTCAAGACCATCAGAGCATCAGTCCTGGTTACCCAGTAGCCAGAGGCAAACAAAAAAAACATACACTCAAAAAAAGGCACCTTAATCCTGGGCCAGGCGCCACCGTCAGTCAGCTCTTTGCCCATATGAGCTCACTTAAGGCTCCCAACAGCCCCATAAGGTAAGTGGTGATATTTTAACTCCAAGTCCATAAACATTTTCTATCTTCTTTCCTTAAAAAAACACACTTTATTGTAACATTAAACGTGTCCATTTTCTCCACTTGACATCCAAACTCTGCCCTCCCTCCCATGAACCAGCCAGAGCCAATCAAAACCCCCTGGACACATAGAACCAGGGAGCTGCAAAGGCAAAAGCTCTCCCCCCGGGGGGACTCCTAGAACACACACCGCTGGCACCAACACCGGCCGGGACCCAAGAAGCCCCTCCAGGCCTCCCTGCTGCAGCCACATCATTAGTACCAGTCCACCCTGGGCATGAAGCGCTCGGTCCAGAAAAACCGAGCAAGCACCTACTGCCCGCCAGGCAGCGGGCTAGGCACAGAGGTCCCGGAGAGGCGCCTTGACCAGGAAAACCCCAAGGGCAGCCAACACCGCAAACTCTAGTCCAGTGACATACAACTCCGTCCCCCAGTCCCACTGGCTGCTCCATTTCAAGGGCTCAATAGCCACATGCTGCCAATGGCTACCACACTGGACAGGGCAGATGTGGAACACGTCCATCATGTCAGAAAATTCTAGAGAGCATGTGGGGCGGGCAGAACCGTGTTTAACCCCGATTCAACTCTCCCCACCGAAGCGCACAATCTATTTGGCCTCAGCATCCTCAGCAATGAAACGAGCGTTCGTAGGGCTGCCACAGACAGTTAAATAAGGCCTGTGAAGCCCTCGATTCAGAGCCCAGCACTGGGCGCGCTCCGTAAACGCCGCTCGCTTCGAGATGCCAGCAGCGGACGGCCAGCTTCCTGCGGGCAGGGCCAGCCGGTCAGCAGTCCCTCAAAATCATTCGCACCGCCCCCATCCCTCCCCCCCCCCAGACCTCTCTAGGCCGAGGAGCCGCAAACTCTATGGCGCGTAAGACCTCCACGCAGACAACTTCCGGCAGGCACGGAAGGGGGCGAGCACAAGACGGCAGGCGGCCAGCCTCTCCCACCCGCCAATCACAGGCGTCCACCAATCACAGGTGCCTACCCAGCACCGCACCCGCCAATCACAGGCACTTCTGCTTCAGACGGATTCATTTCCGGGAGGCTTCGCAAAGCCAAAAGAGGACTTGGTGCGCTCCCCAGAAGAGGAGGAAGTGGAGGGTAAAAGAGCGAAAAGGGGATTAAAGGAGAGAAGCTGTGGGCGAGAGGCGGGGCGTGGCGTCCGCTACTTACTGTAGGAGTAGCTGCTCACTTCCGAGGTGAACGGAGAATGGGCCGACTTGGGCTGGCCTCTGGCCTTGAACCCCACTTCCATCTTCCTGGCTTTGGCGGCCCTTTTGTGTTTACCTTCTCTGGAGGATTTAAGAGACAGGCCGAGGCCTTTGGCCAGAGCCTTCCTGTCCTTGCCCAGCAGGCTGTCATAAGGAGTCAAGTACCTGCCGCAGCCCCCACTAGTTTTCGATTTCCCCCCAGAACTGTCCGAAAACTTGAAGGGCGATTTCAACTTGTCCTGCTTTGTGAGGGAGAGGGCCTTGTCTAGCTTGCTTGCCAACTGCTCCTGGTCGCTGGCCATCTTCTTCTTCTTAATCTTTAGCTGGAGAGGGAAGTTGGGTCACAGGTTAAGACATCTGGCATAACAGGATAGTGGGTTTCAGTGCACATGTTCTGACGAGCCTGGGCTCATCCTTACCCCTGCCCTCCGTGACTTCTAGCAAGTTGCATACCTCCTCTTAGCCTTAATGCTTATACGCTGTAAAATGGGATACTTATGTCTGGGCATCACAGGGTCGTTCTGAAGATGAGCATAAGGTTTAATAAGGCATATAAAGCACTTATCACAATGCCTAGCACAAGGTAACCCACTTATTAAATAGCTGTTGCTGTGGTTACAGTTATCACTGGCACTGGGGCAGTTCCACTCTGGCTTTCCGTGGCACAATCGGGTGCCTCCTAGGAAGCACTTGGAGCAAGCAGAGCTGCCGATGGCCTGGAGAAGGCAGCTGGATTGTGGGAGGAGGGAGGGAGTCAAGATTGAAAACCCAGATCGAAGCATGGCTGATCTGCTTATCTCAACCACCTACAGCAGCTGACAACAACTGCTGCACAGACTAAACCAGCCCATCCTACTAATGGGCCAAAGCTGCCAAGAAAATGCCTTGAGTGTTCCTTGGATGCCTGAAGCAGAAAGAATGATTAGAGATTTCACAGATTAAGTTCTTGCTTGCACATCTATCGTCAACTATAGTCATTTGTTGAAATGAAACATGCAGTTTCAAAGCCATTAATGCCCCACATTTGTACATTTTATCTCTGTTTTCTTTAATCAGGTAGCATTTCATATGGATGGAAAACGTTGGGATAGTGTCATTAAAATAACAACAAAAGCATCCCTCACCTCAGTTTGAGAGTAAACATCCTGATGTACAAACTGGCTATCCTTTCCTTCCTGGACCTACTCTCCCTGTGTGAGTACTCCCCTCTCATGGCCAAATCTAACAAACCATCCCCTTGCTCAGGGCTTTATGGGGAGGGATGACAAGATACATTAGTATTTACAGACAAAGGCCTTAATAAGTGGAAGATTTCAATGCTCTGCAGAAATAAGAAAAATCAAGGAGTTGGCTCTCACTCCATTACCCCTGGAGAGTTCACAGAGGAAATTACAATGGCATCAAGCCCTTGTTTCTTAGAACTACAGAATGGTGAAGCTTCTCATTAAACAATTACACTGTTAAACAACAGAGTAATTGCATTATTTGGTTAAGAACTTGCAGTCTCCCTGCTTGGCTTCAGCACAGGGTCATGGGGCACTCAAAGGGATAGGGCTTTTAGTCCTGGCTCCGCCTGAGGCTGTGTGCTGTGTTACTTTGGTAAATCCCCGCCCTCCTCTGGGCCTTAATCTCCCCCCACCCCCAACAGTCCCATAAGGAGGGTTGGAGAAGAGTTGTTCTGGCACTAAGGCAGCCATTTCTAAGGTTTCTGTGCGGGCACCGGGGCCTGCAAAGGAGTGTGAACTCCAACATACCCTCCAGTCCCCAGGGTCGCAGCGCACCTGGAAGATCAGGTAACTGACCTGACTGAGGAAGTCGGACGAGGCTTCGTGCTCATCCCACGTCTGGTTCCTCCCCCTGGCTTTCCCCATTCCAATGAGAGCCTCGTGCTCCTCCTCGGGCCCCTTGTGTCTCTTCCTTATCCCTGCTCCCAGCTCGTAGTCATCTGATGTCAGCAGGGACTTGCTGCTCAGCCTGAAACCCAGAGGCACCATTGGTCAGCACCCTGGCCAGATAACACTCGAGGGCTGGGGGTCCACCCTCGTGGCCCTGAAGGGTTTGGCTCTGGATGCTGAAGCACAGACAGTGATGCCAGAGTGACGAGTCTGGGGAGACAGGTCTTGTAAGACTACGGTGCTGGAATGCTGGGATATTTGTAAATGAGGCAGAACGAGAATTTCACGTGAAAGAAGACAAAAAGACTCCTCCAAGTCAGCATCCTGCACTGGCCTCTCCAATGCACTCTCACACCTGATCTCACACACACACGTCTACATGGCCAGAGACCTCTTTACCAAAATGTGCCAAGAACAAGAATCGGAAACGCCAAGGAAACCTGCCAAGACGGGGGCGGGGAGTTAAGATTAGGAGTTATATGAAAAAGGAGCCACTTGCTGGCCTCCCGAATCCTCGTGAGCAGAGGCAGTAGGGACAGGCCTGGTTCAAGGGCTCCGCTCGCCTGCTTTAAGCCAAAGCTTCACCATAAGCAAGCAGCCAAACTTTACTTGGGGCTGACTGTGTGTCTTGCACTGCATTAGTGCTTCACGTTTAGCCACAAACAATGCTTTGTTCTACGTACTATTTTACCGATGAGGAAGCAGGCTGGGAAAAGCTAACATGGGGCCCAAGGTCACAATAATGGGTGGAGCTGGGACTCGAAAGCAGGAAGTCAACCACCGTAGGGCCCGCAGCCTGACCACTAGGCCTGGGCCTTGGTGGCCCAGCCTCTTGCTGTCTTCTCCAGCAGCCTCTTCCCTCCCTCCTGTAGCTGGTGACGGGCTTTCTTCCTCTCTCCATCCTTTCTTCAATTAAGAACATCCAAGGAGGTTAAATGCAAGATGTGGGGGCCCCTGGAGCCGTTTCTCCTGAGAAGACCTGTGGCTGTCCCACTGCCTCTCCTGTGCCCTTGGCAGGCCCCTCGAGGCTCTTTTTGCTTCCTCAGACCAAATCTTGGACCGCCTACTGCCCTCCCTGCCCTCATGTCCCAGGCTGAGGAACACGCCAACGCCAACCCTTCCTCGATGGGCCTCTTTCAGCTCGTGCTACAGACACCCAGGGAAGACGGAAGCATCTCTCATGTGCATGCCCGGCCCTGAAGGAAAAGCTCTCATTCCAGCCAGCGTTCAAAGTAAACCTCCAGAGGTGCCACACGAAGCTGCTGCTGTTGCTGCTGCCCGAGGAGTTCATCCCCAGAGTGCACAACGGAGCCAGCCCAGTCGCAGGGAGCAGCCCTGGCATCAGGCGGGACGAGCCAGCAGGTCAAGGCAGGAGGACGGGGATGTGTCCGGCGCGGAGGGAACCAAGCGACAGCCCAAGTCAGAGCCCTTCCCAGCAGGGCTGGCAGCTCAGCGGGTCCCTCCACAGGGAGGAGGTTGTGGAGAAGAGCAGGAATTAGTCCCTAGCCGTGGAGGAAGCAGGCGTGGCAGGAAGGTGGGCGAAGCACTTGGGTTAGGACACGGGACACTCTCGCTGGGGCCATCCTCCCGGCTCAGTGCTTGCTGGCCTGGTCACCCTCCTGGCCCCGGCAGCGCGCAGCGCACCGTGCTCCCGAGGGCTACCGTTCCTGGTGGGTCAGAGCCCGCAGGACTCGAGGTCCCACAGCACCCAGACGCAGGCACCGCGTGGGGCCCGTGCTCCTCCCCTCCGAGCTCTGTGCCAGTCCCCGACCCACCGAGGGGCCAGCCTTACTTTCCGCTACTGTTGCGGCTCTTCCCTCTCTTGCGGGGGGGCGACAGGGCGCTCGGGGCGTGGGTCCGTTTCCGCGGCCTGCCAGGGCCTCTGCGTGCCAAGCTTCTATGGGGTTCCTCGCGCCTGTCCCTTAAAAAGAATCACACGCTAGGCTGTGAACCTGGGGGTGGACGGGGCGCGGAGAAAGGTACACGGTGCGCACACATCACGCGGGTCCACGCACACCTCTGACGGCCTGCCACAGCCAACCTACTGAGCGCCAGCGCCTGCCACTGCCTGAAGGGCCCGGCGGGGCAGGGGCCCCACGGGGCGGGCTGGGGGCAAACTCACTCGGAGTCCCGGCGCCTCTGCAGTTTCACCAGCTCCCGCTGCTTCTCTTTGTACTGCCGTTGCACCTCTGCCAGCCGCATCCGGAAGTCCAGCTCCAGGGCGTCCATGTCCTCCAAGGAGGACTTCATCGCGTACATCTGGGGGGGGGGGGAAGAGGAGGAAGGGGATGAGGATTCCGAGGCCCACTGACTCCCACCGCCTGGCGGGGGCCCTCTCCCGGGTGGGGATGGTGAGACTGCACGACAACAGCCAGGGCTCTGGGGTCACAAAGGCCCCAGCGCCAGCCCCATCACTGCCACCTCCTAGCTGTGGCCTCAGCCTCAACTGTGCGCTAGGAAGCGTACTACCAACTCTTCAGGGCTGTGTCAACACTGAGTTAGATGCATGTGTGCAGCACACACTCACGTGTAACAACCGCCCAGCAAGGGCACTTGTGTTGTCATTTAAAACTGGGGGCTCGTGGAGGGGAGCTGCTTGCTGGGGGCCCCAGGCAGCCAAGGGCAGAGCCAGGTCAGCCCCCAGACCACTCTCTTTCCACCCGTCACGCTGCCGCCGTGGGGCACGCCTGACAGTTATCACATGGACAAACTGAAGCCCCAAGAAGGCAAACGACTTGCCCAGGACCACACAGCAAGTGGGCAGAGGAAGCGGGATGCAGCTCTGGCCTTTCTGATGGCAAAGCCAGTCACGCGCCAGCACATGGAGCCTCAGTGGAGGAGACTCCACCCCCGCCTCTCCCACAAAGGCCCGCGGCAGGAAGAGAACCCTAGACCAGCTCACCCGCTCCTCCTTCTTCTGCATCCAGCTGTACTTCTTGTTGGGGTTCAGCTCCCGTGGAAGCCTCAGGTTCTTGAGCGGGTCCACGAAGGGGCCATCCAGCACCTCCTTCAGCATGTGGCTGCCGGCCACCAGCAGGCTCTCCAGCGAGGGCCGCACCACCAGGCCCCGCTCCGCACCTGTGGAGGAGAGGTGGGTGACGGGCCTGCACTGCAGGCGGGGCTGTGTGTGCCCCACCAGTGCTTCTGGGGCAGGGGGCATACAGAGGCCCAGAGCAAACGCAGGCCCCAGGACACAGAGTCCCCCAGGTGCTGACTGTCCTGAGGCCTTTCCAAGACACAGGAGACAGCGTGACAAGAAAGGAGCAGGTGAGAACACAGAACACGCAGCTTGGTCCCATTCTCAAAGCTTGCTGGTGCAGACCAGGAGAGCCACCCAAGGCCACAGGTTCTTGCTAGGACAGGCTCTTTCTGCTTGTCTGTACTTAGAATTTCCGTGGTGAATGTGCACGGCTCTCATGATCCAAAACACAAAGAGCCCAGGATAAAAACCACAAACCAGGCCAGGCGCGGTGGCTCACGCCTGTAATCCTAGCTCTCTGGGAGGCCGAGCCGGGCGGATTGTTTGAGCTCAGGAGTTCGAAACCAGCCTGAGCAAGAGCGAGACCCCATCTCTACTAAAAATAGAAAGAAATTAATTGGACAACTAAAAATATATAGAAAAAACTAGCTGGGCATGGTGGCGCATGCCTGTAGTCCCAGCTACTCGGGAGGCTGAGGCAGGAGGATCGCTTGAGCCCAGGAGTTTGAGGTTGCTGTGAGCTAGGATGATGCCACGGCACTCTAGCCCGGGCAACACAGTGAGACTCTGTCTCAAAAAAAAAAAAAAATCACAAACCAAGCAGACAGGTGTGAAGAAACAAGAGCCCTCCTGCTCCCCAACACACAGGTCCCTCCGTGGGGAGGCCACTGTCATGCAATTTGTGGTAGATGGTTCCAGAAACATTTATGTGTCGTCAAATACAACATCCCTGGGCATCCTTTATAACTATAAAGATGGTATCAGTATATATCATATCACCCTTTGCTTTTTTCTGCTTAACATCTTTTCACATTAGCACATAACAAACAGATCAACCTCATTATTAGCTCGAACCTTATAAAAATCGCCGTATCTGAAGGTCAAAAACACTAGAGTATCAGTAATTTTATATTTTTATATATAAACCTAACAAGAAGCCTAGAATTCTCTTGCATTGGTAAGTTTTAATTAATCTAAATAATCCCCCACTGTGGCATCTAGGTTGTTTCTGATGTCTTTGGTAATAGCCTAGCAAGCACATGGCTGGAACACGTGTGTTAAGAACATTCCGACCAGCATGATTAATGTGACCACGGTGTGTGCTCTTCTCTCTCTGACAAACGTTCCAGCTGCCCTCCAGAAAGGCTGCTCCAACCACAGTAAAGGAGACCTTGCTTTGGTCTCTACCAAATTAAAATAACTTTAATTTTTTAATTGACATTTTCTTTTGTGATATAAAATATAATTTTGGGGAATATTCCATGTGTGATTGAGAAAAAAAGTATATTCTCTCATCAGTGTACAAAGTTCCAGAAGATCGACATCAGTAATTTTACCGTTGAGGGCTCCTCTGCCTTGGCTGTGTCCACACTGCGGTCAGCCCGTGCTGTATGGGGCCGTCCTCCACAGTACACGGGACGTCTGCGGTGTCCCTGCCTTGCCCACTAGATGTCAGCAGTGCTCCCCTCAAGCTCTGACAACCAAAAATGTTACTGCCAATCCCTGCTGGGGGCAAAATGGCCCCTAGTTGAGAATCACTGGTTTTGCTCTTCTGTATCCTTAGGGAAACTGAGGCCACAAGGCAGCAAAGCCATCAGCTCCCAGGGCCTGATATCAGACTGAGGCCATCTGGCCCACCCCAAGGGGCCGCCTCTGCACCACCCTACCCCTCCAACGCCCTCCAAGACATGAGACTCTTAGGGTTGGGTAAGACAGGGGACCAAAGGTACAACACTGTCACCTCCTCCACCCTCCGACAAATCAGTCCTGCTGAGGCTCTCCACTGACAGGAGACGCCTGAGCGACCTCTAAGCCAGTGGTTATAGGTCCAATTGTGTCCCCATCAATTCAGTATGGTGAACCCTAATCCACTATGACCAGTGTCTTCATAGGAAGGGAAATGTGGAGACAAAGACACTAGAAAAGGGACACAGATGACAGCCATCCACATGCCCAGGACAGGCCTGGCGCAGATCCCCTAACAGCCTCTGCAGACGCCAGCCTTGCGGACACCTTCATCTCGGAACTTCTAGTGAGACGGTAACTTCTCGTTGAAACTGCCCCGTCTCTGGTAAGTAATTCCACAGCCCCAGCAAACCAACACACCAGCCTTCACCAGGCTTTGCCAGCAGAGGTGACCCCGAGGCCCCCGGTGACAGAGTCAGGAGCCGGGGCTGCACTGGAACCCCGGCCGGGCCGGCCCCAGTGCAGAGGGAGGGTTCAAGTGGGTGGTGGCCCCCATGCCAGGTGATCCAGGGCTGTGGCCCAGCAGGGGCCGGCCTGACCACAGGCCCCTCCCTCCCAGCTGCCCTCTGGCCTCTCCAGTCCCTGCCAAAAACCCACTGCCACGTGGGAGCTGTGATCAAGCGGATTTTCATTTTCTTCTGGAAAAAAATTTTTTTCTATTTAACTATTTTAATGAGAAAAAAGCAGCGATGTACTTTAGGACAACAAAACAGACGCCCAATGGGGAAGGGGGCGTCTCTCGCACGGGCCAATGGGAGCACGGCTTGCCCAAGCTTCCTTGGGGGGCCGTTTGACCATGACAATCAAAAAGCCTTGAAAACGTAGCCTTGTTTTGACCCAACAATTCTACCTCTGGGACTATAATCCAAGGAAAATCAGAGGTATGGACAAAGATTTTTCATCAAGGACAACCATCACGTTATTTGCAACAGCAAAAAGAAAACAAAAATTTTCTTAAGGCAAACAAAAATGCCTGACAATCTAGGTCCTCGAAGGGCGAGGCCACCACTGGGCAGAAAACTGGGCAGTTCCCACAAAAATGTTTTTTAAAAGCCACAGCTTTGAAAAATGACTAATAAAGAACATATTAAGTGAAAAGGCCATGTTACAGAACACTAACGAGATGACCTTAATTCTAGAAGTAAATGTGTGTGCGTGTGTGTGTGTGTGTGTGTGTGTGTGCAGAGAAGATTCTAGAGGAAATACACCAAAACATGGTGAGGATATTAATACCTCTTCAACAGCTGTCCCCTGGGCCCCTGCTCCGGTTCCAGGCCACGTGTGGGGCGGTGGGACCACGGCTGCCTGCCTCGGTTCTCTGCACTGAACATCAGTCACTTTGTGCCCAGCCCAGAATTCACTGCCCCTTCTGCCGAAGACACCCCGTTCTCTTTGGGGACCCGCCCACCTACACCCCAGAGGTGACACACCCCGGATCAAAGGCCAGGCATGACCAGCCCGGTCCATCTCCCTGGCCACAGGGTTTGCTGCTGCAAAAAGCATGAACCCCAGTCAGCCAAAGAGAGTGAATCTCAGCATCTGTGGCAAAGCCACCAGGAGAGAGGTGGCTCTTTCACGAGGCTGCTGAGCTGAGCAGGCCCACGGGCCTTGGAGGACCTATTAGAGCCCCACACCCCCTGCGCCATGAGGACAGTGAGCCTGCCTCAAATGAGGCCAAGAAAGAGAAAAGTAGAACAGGGGGTGGGCGCATGTAGGAAAAGAGAAATTCCTAACGACTTGGTTTGTGCACCTAGATCCAGCCATACCTGAAATTACCTAATTACTGCTAGACTTTAGTTCCATGAGCAATAAATTCCCTCCCACCTTGTTCTAAGCCAGTTTAAATTAGAGTTTCTGTCCCTTGCAACCCAAAGAATCCTAATGTAAAACACACCATCGACAGAATAAGGAGAAATTTCACGACCAGGAAACCCAGGCTGCCTGCACAACAATGTGCATGTACTTAACACTACTCAGCTAGACCCTTAAAAACAGTCACGATGGTACATTGTTATGTGTACCTTACCATAATTTTTTTAAAAAATGAATATGAATAAACCACGTTCTGGGGGTTTTCTTAAAAATTTTATAAAAATTAAAAAAAAAAAAAACACCACAGAACCAGACCACAGGAGCGCTCACCTCCCACATCCTGGCCCCGCCGCTCCAGCTCCAGCTCCGCAATCTCACTCAGCAGGGTGATGCCGTGCAGGAAGCTCTTCTCCAGCACAAGGCTCTGAGCCGGTTCTAGCTTCTCCGAAGCCTGGGTTCCAGTGCCTGGGGAGGGCAGAGGCCTGGCCTGGGGCAGCTCCGCAGCCGCCGCCAGGGCATTCATGCCAGCCAGTGGGTCCTCCAGGCCAGGCAAGAACTGGTCAGCGCTTGCCTCTTCCAGGTGGCAGGCACTGCTGGACACAGGTGTGGCTTCCTGGGGCTCCAGGCTCGGGCACTGTCCCTCCCTAGTGGGCATGTCACAGTCTGACAATTCTAGGCTGGGCTGGGGCTCGCTCGGGGCCACCTGCGCCAGGCCTTCTTCAGGTGCTGCCTCAGCCACAGGCACCTCCACCGGCTCCTCCTTAGCCTCCACCAGCGTCTGGGGCGTCAGCCGCCCCCCCAAGTCTAGGGCAGCCGCACAGGATTCTGTCCGGCCCGGCGAGTCCACCCGAGCTTCAGCCCCCTCCACAAATTCTGGGCACTCGGAAGGCTCAGTGCACCCCTGCCCGGCGGCACTCAGCGCCTGGGCCTCCAGCAGACCTCCTCCGCAGCCGCCCACGGGGCTCGGAGCCACCATGGCTTCCTCGGCGGGCAGGGCCAGAGGAGACTCCAGAGGCGGCAGCTCTGCAGGGCCCTCGTCCATGTCCTCCACCTCCGCCTTCACCTCCCGCTCAGCCAGCGGCTCTTCCTCAGGGCCCTCCCGCAGCGGCTCTGGGATCTTGGAGGGTGACAAACGGATGGGCTTGTCTTCCGGTGAGAGTGCCAGGCGCTCAGGCCCATCAGCTGGGAGCGGCACATCAGGGGCCAGGCCGTCTGCATCGGCAGCCGCCGTGGGCTGCAGCAAGAACGGGTAGGGCCTCCCGTAGTGCGGCGGCAGGGCTTGGAACGGGTACCTGGGTGGGATATCTGCAAAGGACGCTGAGGTCAGTGTGGGGACCCAGGGGGCTGATACCCCGTGTCCCCACCAACACCTGCCCACCACCCAGAACAGAGACCCAGGACACAGCCAGCCTCTGACTGAGCAGCAGCAGGGCTGGAGCTCTTCCAGGTGGGATCTGGGAAATCCCAGGGCACTCCGTATGTCAGGGCCACAGAGAGAGATAGGCCACCATCTTGTCCCCAGGGTCTTGCGGTCTCAAAGGCAAAAACCACGGCTGTCTCTCTCATCCCTCCCACTTCGCACCTGGCGCAAGGCTGGGCTAGAAGCAAATGCTTGACAAGGTCTGGGAAGACCCAAACGGCCCTCACCGAGCCAGTGTGTTCTCAGGCCTCCACCCACAAGAACCTGGTGCCCCCCAGTACGGCTGGGGTCCATTCATAATACAACAGTAACAGTCCTGTGTCCGAGTGTAACCTCCCTGAAAGCAGGGGCTGTATGTGCAGGGGAGAGAAGCACGGAGCACACCTGTGGCAGGCACCTGACCCCGAGCATTGCACCAGATCTCCCCAGAGAGGGGCGGCCTCTCATCTGAGCTCACGCAGCCCTGGTACCAGAATCTGAATTTGAACCCAAATCCTAAGTGTGGGTTTACACTCCTAACAACCCCAAGGGAAGGAAAAAACAAGTCCCAGCCCCTAAAGCCACCTGCTACAGGTCCCCAATGACATGGAACACAGGAAGAACACGTGTGTGCGTGTAGCGTGTGGGGTGGGGGAAGCTGTTATCTCCCAGGTGACAACTAGTACCGACTATGTGCTTAGTACTTCTGAGGTCTGGCCTGGCTGAATGCTCAGAACAACTCCTTCTGGAGCAGGTTCTAACATGGCACTGCCACTGAGGAGGGGCTGTCTGACCATGTGCTCGGGCCTGGCACACGGCAGGAGCCCGGCAGAGAGCCCGGCAGAGACAGATGAACGAATGCACGCGTGAACGGACGGACGGGGCCAAGTCTACCACGCCAGAGCTCACTGGAGGCTGGGCAGACCTGGGGGCCGCAGCCACCCCCACCTGAGAACAGGGTCTGGAAGGGGCTGGGGGCTTCCTTCTCCAGCTCCAGGTCCTTCTTCTCCACGACGTTCTCGGGGGCCTCCTCCTTGCGGGTGATGCCAGGGGTGGGCGGTGGCGAGGCAGGTGGCGGGCTGGTCGGGTGGGCACTGGGAGTGGCAGGGTAGGCGTAGGCGGGAGGCTTGGACACGTCCTCTAGCTTCTGGATGACTTTGGCCTTCAGGGCAGCCACGGGGGATGCGCGGGGAGATGGCGGTGGGCTCATGGCCTTGGCGTAGGTGCCTGTGGGGCCGGCAGACAAGCCGGGGGGCTTCCGAGGCAGCAGCCCTGGGCCTGCGGCGGCCAGGCCAGCCTTGCCCGTGGCCTCCAGGTTCCGCTTGCCCGCCTTCTCCTCCATCTCTGCCCGGTGCTCCTGGGCCTTCAGCCGCTCCTGCTGGGGAGGGGGCCGCAGGCAGGGTCAGCGTGGCACAATCCACCACCTGGCACCTGCCCTGTCCCCGGGGTCCCTCAGCCCGGGGAGAACCTCAAGCAGGATCCGGGGGCCAGGCCACCCACCCACTCCCAAGCCTGAGATGGACATTCCGTCCCAGCATGCGTGTAATAACTACAGCCTTCTGTGCGGAACCCCAAAAGGCAGGGCTAGGGGTGGGGAGCCTCAGTGGGCCCCTTTGGACCAAGGCTGGAAGGGGACCTCCACCTGGACCCTGGCCCAGCAGGGACCCTCAGGGACAGGGAGCAGAGGCTGCACGCGAGCACGACAGCTCCTGAAGACGAAGGAGCTGCCCCACGCCCAGCACTCGCTACCTTCACAGAGCGCTTACTACCTGCTGGGCACTTTACTGTATTATCACTTCCGGGCCTCAGAACACCTCAAAGGCGGCAGGAGGAGGCTGTTCCTGTCTTTGATGAGGAAATGGGATGGAGCCGGCTCCAACACAGCCAGTGCACAAAATACGCCAGAAAACGCTCCAAGGACTGGCTGCTGGCACGGTCATTAGCCACCCAGTGACGGGGATTACCAGAATCGCCGCTTCTGGAGGAGGATGCTTAAAGCCCAGAGAGGCGAAGTTACTGGCCCAAGGGTGCACAGCCAGGCCTGGCAGAGCTAAGATTCAGACTAGGGCTCAGGCCTTGGGAGCTGCTACTGCAGCTGCCACAAGGCTGACTCTCCAGAGCGGCCGCTACACGGGAGAGGAGGGGACAGTGCTAAGCAAAGGACACATATCCCAGAACGCCTTCAAGGAGGCAGGAGGACTCTAGACTTTCAGAGTCCAGCCACACACAGGGCAGCCCTGTCCCCTATCTCATGGGACCAGGCCACTCAGGCATCAGAGACAGCTGGCCAGGCCTCCTTGTGCCTATTGAGGGACCACCTGCAGGGAAGGGGCCAGGCTGGGTTCTGGCAGCAGTGGGATCCCACGGGACTCCGTCAACAACTAATCCAAACTTCCCTGGTCCACAAGGCCGCCTCTCTGCCCTGATTTCCCCATTGCTTCCTGCTTTCCCAGGCTCCATCCACCCCTGGGCCTTTGCGCACACTGTTCTCCCTGCCTGGAGAGCCCTTCCATGGCCAACTCCTTCAGGTCTCTGCTTAAACACAACCTCCTCCAGGAAGCCCTCCCTGACCACCCACCTCTGCCTCCCTCCCTCCCTCCATCTGTAACCATTTGGTGTTTTTGCCCTGTCCTCCTGGACTCACCACCAGTTGTGCGTTCCTCTGCAGTTCCAGGGCCTGCGCCGCCTGCTGCTGCAGGTACAACAACTCCTGCTGCCGCAGGAAGTGCTGCTGGGAGAACAGCTGCAGCTGCTGGGCATGGTGCAGGGGGCTGCGGCCCGGCGGGTACAGGGCAGGCCAGAGGGGTGGCACCGCGGCTCGCTCCATCAGCTCCGCTGGGGAGAACAGGGAGAGGGCTACCACCACGTCCCCACACCCCGCCACTTGCCACAGATGAGAAGCTGAGGCCCAGGGAGGGGCACCTACACAGCACTGCTGGGCCCCCAGTTGCCTCCTGGGAGCAAGGGATTGTCCTCCTCCACTTGCCAGGTGTGCACACAGCCCAGGGACACGGCCCCATCCGCATGCCAGGTGGGGGACGTCCCCACGGCCTCACAGCCGGAGTAGGCCAGCATGCAGGCTTGAACTAGGGCTGCCGTGGAACTTGAACACCTTCTCCTACCCCCACAGTGGTCTGCAAAGTGGATTCCCGAAGGGATGGGGGCCAAGGAGGGGGCTCCAAGCCCCCAGCCCAGGCTGCCCTGCTCTGGTTCTCCTTACGGGATTTCTGAGTAAGAGTTCATCGAAACAAGGACCTCAAGGCTTTAGAACACACGGAAACTGCCAACATCAGCGTGTTCTCTCTGAACCCCTCTGTCTCCCACCGCCCGTTCTGCTGGGTTGCCCACCCCCTGCAGGAGGCCCTGCCAGCCACTCGGGGTCTACTTACCAAAGTGAGGCAGGTGATCACTGGGAATGACCACCAGCTGGCCCGACTGGGGGTCCCTGACAAACTGGTAGGCTGATGGTAGGGAGCCCCCCAAGCTGGGTGGGAATGCAGGGGCCATGCCCTGGTGCAGAGAGGGGGGGCCCAAGCCTAGGAGGAGAAGCAGGCCCACGTCAGTGCCAGGAGGCCCCAGGGCAGCCCCAGGCCCAGCACTACCACCCCCTGCCCCAGTCCCTGAATCTCTGAGGTATCCGGGGAGAACCAAGGGCAGAGGGGCGCTGGCAGAGTGCAGACAGGCCCACAGAGCCACCCCTCTGGGCACCTGCCCGACACAGGCATGGCAGAGGGCCCCCAAGAGGCAGGTGCAGTTATAATTCCCTCTTTGGACAAATGAAGAGTGGAAGCCCCAGGCCCCCAGCCAAGGGTGGGCAGGAGTCAGCTCTGAGCCCCCATCCCACCCCCCGGCCACCTCCCCACCACCTCTCTTTCTCCAGAGGAGAGAAGTCCCCCTACCCCGCACTCACTGTAAGGGTGTCCGGCAAGCCACATGGACGTGCTGCCCGAGCGGGGCAGCCAGGGGTGCGTGGCCAGGTGGGCTGCAGGGTCAGCAGACCAGCGACCTGAGCCTGCCAGTGCCGGGCCCCCAGTCACCATGAGGTTGGGGTTCAGGCCGTTAGGAGCACAGCTGGTGGGGTGCAGGCGGGCCAAGTCGGCCAGCTCCTTACTTTCCCTAGAAGGAGGAACAGAGGCCTCGTGACAGCTCTGAAGGCCCGGGGAACTGGATGAAACGGGGAGAGTGGAGGTCGCCCCAAGTAACAAGCAGACACCAGGCCGCGGGTCAGGACACCCCATGGGGACGCATGCTCAGCTCAGGACAGAGGGGCCCCCCAGGGCTCCCACACTCAGCCCAATGCTGAGGACCGAAGTCCTGGACCAGCAGCTCCAGCTCTCAGGACCATGGCGCTGTTTCCCCCCCTGCGCCGCTCCCCCCACTGCCTTCAGGCCACCCCCAGGACCTCCAAGCCACCCCTTGCCCTCACCGGAGCAGCTTCTCTTGGTCCCGGTCCAGCCGCGCCCCCAGCAGCCGTTCCTCCCGGTGCCTGGCTCGGTCATCCGCACAGTCCTCGTCTGCTCGGCCATGCCCTGCGGAGCCAGGTGGACATGAGCCCCCAGCTGGCACCCACCCACTGCCTCAACCCTCCCTGGGCCCTGCAGAGCCCCCACGGGCTCCACGGCCACCCGTGTGGCTCCTCTGCTCCAACCTACTAGGAAATGTCTGCTCTGTCTCCCCCAGCCCCTAAAGAGCCTGTCTTCATCACCTGCACGGACAACTGTGCCCATCCTTAGACCGACAGCCTTGGGTATTACCAGAAAACGTCGTAAAACGTATCACATAGCAATAAAACGTGAGGCCGGGTGCATGGGAAGGCAGGTCCTGGGGTAGGGTTTGCACAGGGCGGGGCGCGGTCCCGGTGGAGGGGAGACCGCAGCCCAAAAAAGGGACGCCACCTTTCGGAAGCACAGCCAGACCTGGGTCACCACTGCCCCCACCATGCAGTTCCATCTGTCCCAACACAGTGTTTTTTTTAAATCAAGATAGGAAAGTAAAACCAATGAGCACTACTTGGAGGGCAGGGGCCATGGCCCAGAACCTGGTGATACCACCCGGCCGGCCCACCCCAACCCCAGGAGCGGAGCAGGCAGGTCCTGAACTCCTGGCCCAGAGCAGAGGAGGAGCAGGAGCCCGTGGAGGGCACCGTCTGTCCCTGTCCCTCCTAATCCTTGTCCCCGCCCTGGCCCCTCTTCCTGGGTGTTCACACCACAAGGCAGAAGTTGGCACCTGGCAGGCAGGCAGGGGCACAGGACGCAGCTGGCCATTGGCAGCAGAAGCCACAGGGCGTGTGGCTGGGAAACCTACTCATCAGCTCCAGGTGCCACTCATAGAGGCTTGAGTCTGGCTAATTACTGTTCTTAGGGTCTGCCTGGCTGGGGCTGACACCCTCAGCCACCCGGGGTGCTGTGGGCAGACACCCACGGCCAGCCTCGGCCCCCAGGGGCCCAGCCCAGCACCGCAGGCAGTCGGCCCGGGGCTCGGTCCCCCAGCACGGAGACATTACTACTCTGCCGGAGACCAAGGCCCTGCCTGGGGCCCCTGCGGGGTCTACAGCAGCCCCAAGCTCACGACCTCGCGGGCAAGGCTCCCACATGTTATGCTGCAACTGAGCGTCTCCCCATCTTCTCTCCCCTCCTGCACCCCCAAAACCAAGAGCTCCTACAGAGCAGCACCAAGGAGAGGCTCCGGGATGTGGGCTCCTCCCTTTCCCTCCAGGAAGGTGGGGACCCACCAGTCTCGGAAGCAGAGGAGGGGAGCCCAGGAGAGGGCACAGCTACCCAGCCCAGCTGCCTGCCCCAGCAGGCAAATCCGGGGCGAGGTGCATCCCTGGCCTCCTGCTAAGTCGCGTCCTGCGGGCCACAGTAGGCAGAGGCGCCGCGCAGATACCTCGGCTAAGCCAAGGCGAGGTCACACGGGAGGCAGGTGGAGGAAGGGCAGTGACCTGCATCAGGGGAAGCCCAGCCAGGGCGCCCCTGCCCACCCACGTCTACGTGGTTCCCGTATCAAAGAGGAGGCGGAGCCCACCCCGCACCCCTCAGCAGGACTGGAAAGGGCCCCGCTCGTGGACCCCAGGAGGAAACTGAGGCCCAGAAGGGTAGCGACAGGTTTCAAGCAGGGCTGGGGCACGGAGGGCCCAGAGTCCCACCACGCGAAACAACAGGGCATGGGCTCCAGTGTCCTTCTCCCAAGGGAGATGGTGGCCTGGCTGAATCCCAAGGGTTCGGCCACCTGGGGTGCCACCCTTACGCCCTCTGGGCCCTCCTGGAGGCTGGGATGGGCTTTGGGCACAGTACGATGCTCCTGATGCCCCCAGAAGGGACAGGCGCTCAGAGCATAGCCTGGGCTCAGCCCCAGCCCTCCTCTGTCCTCCCCATCCCCAGACACCTGTCCACTGCCCTGACTGTCACCACCCACAGTCCCAGGAGCTTCCCATCCCAGGCGCCACCTGCATCAGAAACTTGGCTGCTGGCTGGCCCCATCTTGGGGCACATGCCGTCCCCAGGGCTACTAGGGCCAGAGCCCCAGTCTGCTCCCTGTAGGTCTGGTTGGTCTCCTGAAGAAACATGACATGCCCTCCATACCTTACCCCTGCGCTCGGCTAGGCACCGGCTCAACCCTCCTTGTTCTGTGGCACTCCGTCCCATCTAACCCCTGCTCCCACCTGTCGCCTCACAGAGCCAAGCTGGGGCCTGGCCAGCCTCTTGAGTGTGTCCCCAACCTCTCTGTATGCCAGTCACATTCAGCCCCCACCCTCCGCCATGGGGCCACCCAGAGTGTCCTTGCCCCGGGCTACTCAAATTTCCCCATCAGAAGTCAGCTTCAAACGCCACCTGCTCCAGGAAGCCCTCCCTGACTGCCTCTCCTCTGTCACATTCCCGTTTATCTCCCTCACAGCACTGATCACAACGTGTAGCTACTACTCTGCCTACTGGCCAGTCACTGTCTCCTCCATCACACCGTGCACTGCCCTGGCTCGAACAGCCCCATCATGGCTGTCCACCTGCCCCCTGCACAATGCCTGGCCGAGAGAAGGCACTTAATACATGTGCAGTGAACAGATGAATGAATGGACTCGTGTGGATTCTAGAGGAAGAGTGTGCTGCACAGAGGCAACCACATGTGCAAAGGCCCTGAGGCAGGGATGTGCTGAGGAGCATCGAGGAGACCACGGTGGCTGCAGAGCACAGGCCAGAAAGGGCTCTGGAGATGAGGTGGCACTGTGGGTATGGAAGGGGCAGTGTAGGCCTCTGAAGAAAAGGTGGTTTCAATTTTATTCAAAGGGAGAAGGGGAAGCCAGGGGAGCTCTGGGCAGGGTCGCAACATGATCTGCAAAGGCTCTGAAAACCCCCTCTGGCCGCCCGTGGACAAGCGAACAAGAAGGGCTCACCCACCCTTCTATGCTGGGCTCTACCGCAGTGCCCTCCAGGGAGCTCCCAGCCTGGCAAGGGGACTAGCTCCTCTGAGGTGTGCAGGGCAGAGGGCCGGCCCACTCTGTGGTCACAGTGACAAAAGACCCCAGCCCAGCCCGAGCGTGAGCAATGGACGCAGAGGCTGGCACTTAAAAGCTGCCCCTGTGCCAACAGGGCCCCAGGTACTCTGCACACAGGAACTCGCATCAACCCGGAGGCAGGTCCCCAGAGGAGGAAACTGAGGCACAGGTCACAAGGCTAACAAGGAGGCATCCCAGCTATGATCGGGGTGAGTCTTCCTGACTGAGGCACATGGCCCCACACAGAGAGTCGGCGCAGGGTGGCGCCATTAGCACAGGGCTCGTATAGCAGTGTCCCTGCCGTCCCTATCTGCAGGCCTGCCCAGCAGCCCAGCCCCACCCCAGGGCCCACAGAGGCAGGGATGCCCCTAGGCAAAATCCGCCCCCCACCTTGGTCCCTGACAGCAGCTGCCCCTTCACGCATCACACACATCGTCGCCACTATGTGCCGGAGAGGCTCAGCCTGAGGCCCTGTTCCCATGGCAACAACCCCCTCCTGGACTCCATCTGAGCAGCCGTCCAGATACGGCCACCCCGTCTCAGGCTGGCTCATCGTCACACAGCTTACAACTGGCTCTGCACCATGGTGGGAGTGGGGACACCCTCTCGGCCCTCCCACTAGCGCTGGTCCCAGCCTGCCTCTGCCACACAGGAGGTGGGACAGACAGGCCTCAGCTCAGGGTTCCCGCTCAGCCCCACCTCGCCTCTGCAGGCCTCAGTCTCCCCATCTGTGAATGGGGAGACCAACATCCCCCTCTGCAGGGATCTACGCAACGACAGCCAGCCCTTCCGGGGAAGTTGGCACTCGGGAGCTACTGGCTCAATGGCAACGATTGCTCTTATTTGCTGTGCCGCTTGGGCGTGGCGGCAGCGACTGCATGAGGCTCACAGATGTAGGTGAAGCCTGTCTTAGTCCATCTCAGGGTCCAAGACCCCCTGAGGCCAGACCTAGGTCCTGCGTGCATCTCCCGGGAAGCAGGAACTCAGGCTTGCAGATAGCACCCGACGCCTGAACGTGAGCAGACAAAAGAAACACCTGCTCAGGAAGCACCTACTATGTGCCAGCCAGCCCAGCTGGCACTGAGCAAATGAGGTGACCCCGGGGCCCAGAGAGCTCAAGGCTCCTGTTCAAGGTCACACAGCAGCAAGGGGCAGAGCCAGGATTTGAGCCCACTGACAGAGGCAGAGGGTTCACTCCAAATAGTAAGAGACTGGGCCAAGACCCCAGGAGACCAGGGTTGACAACCACCCGCTTGGCTGGGGGGGCCTGTCCTGGAGCCTCTACCTCCTCCAGCCCCGCAAAGTCACTCAGCACTGGGGCTGGGCTGCCTGAAGAGAAACCACAAGTTCATATGGGGTTTTTGTTGAGAGAAAGAATCCAGATGCCTCCTTTTCAAGCGTTACAACCAACAGAGAAAGGCAGCTTCGGACAAACCCCTTAACATCTTGTCCCAAACCCCCCCCCCACATCCTCCCTCCCTCTCCTGTTCTCACTCACACATTCTCTCTTTTTCTTTTGTGCGCACATACACACACACTCATGACCCCATGGGCACACATCCCGTAGGCACAGGCAGGCACTCTGGGCTCTAGGATGGGCCCTGGGAACCACGGGCCCCCAACAAAGGTGCCACCATGTCACAGGAGCATCCTCCCTGAGAAAGGGCTTTAAGAGATCTGCTTCCCAGGGGGTCCACAGCCCAAATCTCTGAGCAGGAGGGCTTGTCCACCACCAAGCTGGCCACCTGCTGCAGTCCAAGGGCTATTGCCCACTTCTTTTATCCCAGAATAAGGCAGGTTCTCATGCAAGCTCCCCCCAACACCCAGGATCAGAGGGCAGGGCTTCCCTGGCTGCAATGCGCTCAGTCAGTCATCAAACGTTCACTGAGCATCACTCGCTCGGAGCCAGCTATACTGGATGAGAAGAATTCTAAGACCAGACACAGCCCCATCTCCTCATTCAAAATCCAAAGACTCTGAGTCTGCTCCTGGATGAAATGACATCTGGAGCTCAACTGGAGACAGACCACGTCGAAGGCGGCTCTAAGAGGAGGTGATGCTGGGCCCTGAGGATGAGGGGACATGGTGTGCAAATTGGGAAGGGCGCTGCAGGTGGGAAGTGTGGCACCAGGTACCCTGGACCGGCTGGGGCAGCAGGTTGGTGTGAAAATGACGTTCCTGGGAGATGCTAGAGCGACCCAGGCCCAGGCCCCTACAACTGGGGGCAACACAGGACAATAGAGAGGGGCATTCAGACAGTCCTGTGCAGACGCAGCGTGCATGCAGATCAGCGTGCATGCAGATCAGCGCAGCAGACTGTGCCTCACTGGGCTCGACAGGGAGAAGGACAGCCGAGAGGCAGCTCCGACGGGACCCAGCAGTGCTGCTCACCGTGGACCAAGGATAAACCCAGGGAGACACGGGGGGCCAGGCCAAGGGGTGGTGAATGCTCAGGAGATGTGCCCCAAGGTGCCTGTGCAGCCTATGGAGTACAGTCTGGGAGATGCAGGGAAGGGGGACTTTGCGGGTGCCACAGGCAGGGACCCAGAAGGGGGCCAAGCGGGAGCTCACGGCAGGTGAGTGTGGGGTACAGGCTGGGGTGGGGGTGACTGTTGAGAGGTCCCAGAGGCAAGGAGCAGCTGGACATGGCCTTCCCCAGGCCTCACCATGGCACACTGAACATGGCCTCAGTCCCCGGACCACAGGTGGACAGACCAAGTCGGGACTTCCAACAAACATGCCACAAATATCAACTCTCCGAAACCCCAGGAGGAATCCAACAGCGAAACATACAAGGGACACAAGGAAATACAACCAACCAACAAACCAAGTTCTGGAAAAATATTCAGCCTCACTAGTGACTAAAAGAAATGCACCCTTCTTCCCTACCGAAATAAGCAACCGTTTTTAAAAAATATTAAAACAAAATTCTGAGAAATCTAAAGTAAAACAGATGGACTGACCGCTAACAGGCACTTAATATCTCTAACTACCTAAGAAGGCACTTAGGTGCTGAATGTCGAGACACCCTAAGAACATCGGGACCCCAGTTTCTACCTATCCCTCAAACACTCCCTCACTCACTCAGTTATCAAATACCTACTGTGTGCCAGCCCAACGCTGGCGAGGTACTGGGGACACCAAAATAGATAAGGCAACAGTTACCTCCCTCAACGACTTAGAATTGAAAGCTTCACGATAGTCTATTCCCAAGAATCTCTATTCTTAGAAAATGACTCAAAATACCATGAAGGCGCAATGCACAAAAATATTCAATGCAACATTCTGAACACAAAACATCAGAGAGAGGGGGAAAAACCAAAATGCCCACCAAGGGAACAGAGAACTGAACTATGGTATATGCTTGCAACAGAATATTAAAGGCCATAAAAAAATGCTACTTATAAAGAGTCTGCAATACAGCCAGAGGAAATGACCCACGCTGTAATATGTGAACAGTGTAAAAGCCCAAGATCGTACGTGCGCTAGGATCACTGCAGGTAGAAGCAAACTGCACAGGAAAATGAATTCAGGGGAAGATACAAAAGTGTTCAGGGTATTGGAAAAATATAATTGTTCTTTTTCTTCACTTTCCTTTTCTGCATTGTCCACATTTTTGTATGTACATAATGGAAAAAGCAGTAAACTTTCAACAGCAGCTGCAGCCCACAAGTGGGACAGAGGAGCAGTGGCAGCAGGAAGGGAGGGAGAGGTGAGGGTGCCAGGGTAGGAGGGCAGGAGACAGGGAAAAAAGGAAAGAGGAGGTGGGGGGGCGGGGAAAATGAGGCCAGGGTGAGACCCAGGACCTACCTTTGACGTTGCTCAGTGACAGGGAGCGCTCCTGATCCGCCAACCCAGGCCCCAGCCGGCCACTGCCACCACTGTCCTTCTGCCGAGCCACCGCCACCGCAATGCCCACGGGTGGGTGTCGAACTTCTGCCTCACCCTGGGCACCGGAGCCCTCTCGCCCGAAGGCCTTGGCGCTCTCAGGCCTCTCGGGGTCCCGCTTCAGCTGCCGGCCACCGCCAGCTGCAGGGCCTCCGGGGTGCGGGAGGCGGGCCTGGGCACGTGGGGCGCCCGCAGCGGTGGGCGCCGGCTCAGGTTTCATGGTGCCCAGGCCTCCAAATGGACTCTTCTTGCCACAACCGCCAGGGCGCACGGCCACCGCCTCCCGGGCAAAGCTGCCGCTGTACTTGATGAGACTCTGCATGGCCGAGGCCTCTCCGGGTCCATGGGTCACAGGGTGCAAGTCAGCGCCGGGCCTGCCGCAGGAGGCCGCGTTGCGGGGCAGCCCGCCCCCGGGGTCCAGGTAGGCCTTCTTGGAGGCTGCCACGGCCTCCTCCTCAGCGCGGCTGGCATGGTGGTGTTGCGCGGCCAGCACAGCCATCTGCGTGGTGGCGAAGTTGCCCAGTTCAAAAGGCTTCCACTTGTGCTCGGGGCCGGCGGGCGGGGGCGGCCGTCCAGCCTCCAAGCCGAAGAGCTTGGCGGCCTGCTGGGCCGCGGGGCCCCGGGGCGCGCGCTCGCAGGGCCGCGGCTCGGCCTCGGGCTTGAGCAGGTCCTTGGCCGGCAGGTAGGCCCGGGCGTCCGGGGAAGCGCGCGCAGCCCGCGACGCTGGGGCGTCGGCGGGTGGCGGCCGCTTGAGCGAACGGATCACCGAGTTCTTCTCGCGCAGGCTCTCAGGCCGGTCCGGCGGCCGCGGGGAGCCGGGTGTCGCCTGCAAGACCCCCGGCCTGCCCGCCTCCCGCTCGCGGGCCCGGGCGTCGCGCGCCTGAGACGCGATCTGGATGGGCCCCGGGCGCTCGTCGAAGGCCTCCACAGAAGGCACGAAGGTGGGCGCCACCACGCGGTGCTCGCGGCCCGGCTCACGGAAAACGGTGTAGACGCCAGTGGGCGCGGGCGCGGAGGCAGGCGGCGCGGGCGGCCCCTTGGGTGGCGGCGGGGGCAGCGGCGAGGCGCAGGGCCGCGGCCCGGGCAGCAGGGCCTCTGTGCGCCGCAGCAGCCGCGCGCTCTCGTCCTGCCGGGCCGCCTCCTTGGTGCCGCTGCGGCCCGCCTCGGCCACCAGCGCAGACAGCCCCGCGTCCCCCGCGCCGTTGCATATGCTCAGCACCGATGGCTGCAGCACGCTCTTGCCCTTGGGTTCGGCCAGGAAAGGGGACAGGCGCTCCGCCAGGCGCGGGAGCCCGCGGTCCTGACGGCCCTCAGCCCGCGCCTCCTGGGTCAGGTCCACTACGCCACGCGGCCCTGCTGCCTCCTCGCGGGCTCTAGGGTCCTTCTTGCCGAACAGCGGGGGTGGCTCCCCGCCACGGCCCGCCCGCTCCTTGGCCTGACCTTCCCTCGACGATGAGCCTTTGGCTGGAGCCCCTGAGGAGTGGCTGCTGGGGGTCCTGGCAGAGGGCACGTGAGAGTGAAGGGCGCCCGCAGCCCCCGGGGCGGGCAGGTAGAAGCCGTCTGTGGAAAGAGCGCAACAGTGAGCAAGGGCCACCTCCCACCCTTTCCAGGGCAGAAGGGGCTCTGTGTCCTCAGGCAGGAGGGACATGAACAGCGCAGCCACTAAGAGGGCAAGCTCAGGAAATAGCTGGAATCAAGTTTAAATCTGCCACTGCCACCTACTGCTCTTCCTGAGCCTCAGTTTCCTCCTCTGTAAAGGGGTGAGGATTGTTTTAAGACCTGCCCAGAGGGTCTAGCGGGCTCTGTGAGGAGGAAGGACGAGAAGGCTCCGGAGGTTATGGCAGGCTCAGGGAGCTCTTGGGTACTGGAGTCTCACAAAGGAGTCTGAGACAGAGGTGGAAGCTGCCCGGGACAGTGTCAAGGGCCCTGGCGAAGTCCCTGAGAACGTCCCTGTGTCACCCCCTCCTGGGCCCACAGTCTCACCACTCCCGTCCTCTGACCTTTCTGGGTATCGAAAATGCTGGGCTGGCCCAACTGGCTGAGGAGGGGGCTCCCGCTGCTGGGGGGCTCCAGGTGGTTCAGGTGGAGGTAGGATGGGTACAGCCCACTGGGCAGGTGGGAGAAGCCTGGAAGAGAAAAGGCGGGCTGGACCACTGCCTGCCTCCCCGAAGGAGCTTCCTTCCAGCATTTTCCTTTTCTTGGAAATAAACTATCTTGGCTGTCAGCCCCTGGTGCAGGAAGCCCCGAGGTTTCACAGCAGCTCCCTAGGGCAACGCTTGTTCCTCCCAACCCTGTGACTTTGGGCCTCTCTCCAGGCCCAGGCAGCCCTCCGGGGCTTGGGGTCTCAAATGCCCCAGGAAGAAGATCAGATGGATCCAGCTAGGAGGGGATGGTGACAGCTTGCCAAGCATTGTCAATTGCTTTGCCACCGTTACACTCATTTAAACCTCAAAAACAACCTCTGAAGCAGATACTCTTAGTATCCTGATTTTACAGATAAGGAAACTGATGCTCAGAGAGGACCACTTGCCCAAGGTCATACAGCACAGGTGCTTCAAACCGAGGTAATCGGACCCTGCAGCCAGGACAGTTCACCTCAACCCAACATGGGCCCCTCCTCTGCTGTGTGAGCCTGGGCTGGTCACTTGACTTCTCTGAACCTCAGTGGACCCAGCATCCCTAGCTGCCAGGAAGGAATTCCTCATGCCAAGGGTCCTCCCAGCCTCCTGAACGCCCCCCACCAGCAATGCCCAGAATCAGGACCTTGCAGGACAAAGACAGGAAAGGGAGATAGAAGCAAGTCGCACATGGAGAACGGGGCCCCCAGAGGCCGTCTGACAGGGCCCAGAAGGCCGGGCGGTTGGGCAGGCAGGCGGGCGCTGGGGCTCTGGGCGAGGGCCCTGATGCTCTGCCTGAGCCCAGAATCCCACAGGGCCCCCAGCCCATCGGAGACCGCTGCGGGACCTGGGTATCCTGTTCCCCAGTGGCTCCGTCTGAGGCCAGGGACACAGGACCTGTCCTTAGCTCACTAGGCCAACGTCTTTCCCCCCAGCACCACCTGATGCCATTCACAACAAAAACAAGACCAAAGGACCGAATGACACCACTGTCTCACTTATTCACAGAAACAGTGCTCCGATGCAGGCATTGGGTCTCTCTGCTCTCATCTGTCACCTGTAAAATGGGCCTAACAGTCCCCACCTCAGGGCTGCCTTGCAGCACCTGGGACAGAAAGCAGCGTGTGTTTACTGTCATTATTATCCGCCTGCACTTGCTGGCAGAAGAGAAAAGGGAGTATCAGGGAGGACAGAGGAACAAGCTGGTGGCACCAGAGGCGCCCTCTGCTCTTCCAACGCTGCAGTGCCTGCCAGACTGGCTAAGGTGGGAGCCAGGCGGGACCCCACCCGAGCAGGGCCAGCACCAGCCAGGCCCAGACATCCCCTCTGTACAGGGCGCACACTCTGGTTCCTGGATTCAGACGCCTTCCCCAGGGAGCTTGGGAAGAGCAGCCTTGATGGCCCCATCTGTACAAGGGGCACAGGGCTATAAGGACTGGGAGGGGTCCTGTGGCTGAGGGCACCTCTGACTACACCTTTTCCTCCCGGGCTAAATGCAGCTGTCCACGGCCCCACCCCAATGGGTTTGGAGTGATGGCGAGCACTCAGTCAGACTCAAGCCCACAGGGGGAAGTGGGGAGCCGTAAGCGGCAGGGGGTGCTCCCAGGCTGCCATCTTCCAGGATCCCGGGGGCACCCAGCAGTAGGGAGGAGGGACCCAGCACCCGGCATCCAGAACCATCAGAGCCAGAGGTTCAGGAGGAGCTCAGGATCCCCAGGCCCACCCTTCATGGACAGAGCTGGCAGGGAGGCTCCAGAGAGATCCAGAATGTGCCTGTTCCCGTGGGAGGCCAGGCCTGCAGCCCCCAGGTCGAGGGGCATCACTGCAGAGCTGTGACAAAGAGGGCCCGTGGCCCTGCATCCCATGCGCGTGCGGTGATGAAGGAGCCTCCTGCGCACCCCGGACCCGACGGTGAGCAGAGCAAACCAGGCCCTGCTTTCAGAGCTCAAGAATAATCACGCATATAATCTGTTGTCACAAGTAAGAGGTGGACCAGGGTGGGGAGGTAGGGTGTCTGAGCTGGCTCCTCGGGAGGAACCAGGGGCGGCCAGTGGGGTGGGGTGAGGGGCTGCAGGCAGAGGGAACAGCTCATGCAAAGGCCCTGTGACAGCGACAAGAGGAAGCACAGAGCATTTGAGGAAGAGCAGGGAGGCTGGGTGACTAGGGCTGGGCCCCACCAGCCCCAGTGAGGGGGTGACCATGGAGGTGGAGGGGAGTGGGCAGCCTTGAGAAGTGCTGGGGACATCAGTCACCAGAGTGGCGGGGGCAGTGGCCCAGCAGCCCTCAGCCCCACCCACCTGGCACGCTCCTTACCTTCATGCGCATGGGCAGCCCACAGCTGCACCATGGGCAGGTTGCTGGGGGTGGGGGAGCGGAAGGAGAGGTCAGAGGGCAGGGACACCGGGCTCCCATGGGACGAGGCCGAGGGCCCCATCCCGCTGGCCACAAAGCTGCCCAGGAAGGCCTCGCCTGCAGAGAAAAGGGGGCCATCAGGCAGCCGGCCAGGCCGCCACCGCCCCACCGCCCAGAGACCCATCTCTCCTCTGACTGTGTGGAGCTGACACTGGCAGGGAGACCAAGGAGATCTCCCCTGCCCCACCCCAGGATGGGCCTGGGTCAACTCAACCGACCCAGGGCTTGAGAAAGCTGCAAGACCCCAGGAGACAGCCAGAAGGAAGCCTGCCACAGCAGGCCCCCACCCCGGGAAATCCAGCACCTTCAGAGGAGGGCTTTATCATCCCTGCTGCGCAACCAGCCAAGATCCAAGGGGGCACTGCTCTCCCCATTTGCAGATGGACACCTGAGGCTGGTGGGGGGCAGGTACCTCCCAAGGCCACAGAGCAAGGAGGTGGGGGCTCATGGGGGTGGGGGCTCAGGTTCCGAGCTCCGCAGAGCTCCTGGACCAGAGAGCACCACCCTTGAGTGACAGAATGACTCCCATGGCAGCCCTGTGCCCATTTGACAGATGGGGAAGCTGAGGCTCAGAGGTGGGATGTACCTGGTCACACGGCCAATGGCTCAGAATGCACCTGAGGCAGGGTGTCCCAGAGCCCCCGGCACACAAGCTACAGTGAGTTAGGGAACCAGTGAGGGAAGGGATGGAACAGCGAGCATGGGAGCTGCTAAGGGTTCAAGGGAGCCCCACCCAGGACCACCCCTCCAGACAGCAGGACCCCACACCCGGGTGGCTAGGGCCCAGGCAACAACCACACATGCCCTGCCCTGCCCCATTTGGCCAGGCCCACAGGAGGCCTCCTGGCTGCACCCCAGGGCTCCACCCCACAAGCCCCAGCACCCCAGGTCTCCAGGGTACAGGCCAGAGCCCTGGGGCCAGAGGCTCCCCTGATGGCCTCGGTTAGCTCATCGTGAAAATGGGGTAGCGATGCCCTCCTTTGAGAAGTGCAGTGAAGAGGGAAACACGTGTTTAGCCACCACGACAGTAAGAATGAAAATAATAAACGGCAGCAGGGCCATTCACGAAAAGCTACCAGGCACCGGGCACTCAGCAGGTGACTTCAAATCCTCCCAAAAACGCCCCAGGGAGGCGGCGGCACAGCCCTGAACACAGAGCTGAGCGGGGTGGTCACCAAGCACAGCACCCCCTAGGTGCCAATTCTGGCCGGCCCCAGCCCAGGGCGTCTCTGTGCACCCTGAGCAACCTTCTCTGAGTCCCTGTGGGTGGGCACTGTTTGCAGGTGGCACAGAGAAGGAGGGGACTGTGCCGGAGGAGCAAGTGTGTGTGGCTCAGCCACCCAGGTGGCCCCACAGGGGGCTCATGGACCCCAGCCCAACCTCTGATCCCTGGCAGTCCCCTCACACAGGGCTGCATACAACAGGCGCTCACTGACCACCTCCTAGGAGCACAGGCTCCCAAAATGTCCAGCCTGGCCCCCTTGGGCTTCACATGGGGAAATCAAGGCCAAGAGGGCAGGGCCTCCACCTCAGTCCCTTAGAGCAGAGACAGCAGCAGGCAGAGCAGCAGGGGGAATAGATGCCCTCTGGCCACATGCCCCACCCCCACCGCCACCCTGTGTCTGCCCCCTCCCCCGCACACTCCAGCCCCACCCGGCCCAGCCACCTCACCGGACTCCAGGGCCAAGCCCTCGGGACCCAGGGCCATGGTGGCCGGTCAGTCCATCCATGCGGCCCAGGCCGGAGCAGCAGGGCCTATGGGCCCTGCAGAGCCAGGCTTCCTCCTTGGCGTGACAGGTGGGTGGAAGGCTCCGGAAGCCGGCAGCCAGAGGTTTGCGCAAGGGCTTACATCAGCCACCAGCTCTTCCTGCCCAGGCCTCACGGAAGCCCCATGGCCCAGGCCTACCCTGCCCGGGCTTGTGAAACCCGCCCAGCGGCACCCAGGCCAGCGAGCGTTGGGGCCGGATGCTAGCCAACGGCTCCCGCCCGCCACAGGCCCAGCAGGGGCCCCGGAACCCCAGACCCAGGCGCTCAGTGCTGCTCTCGGGGCCCCGGTTTGCAACTCTGTCAAATGGGTGCACCGTCCCTCAGGCTATGAGCATGTCCCCTCCCGAAATCACGCTCAGAAGCGAGCGTGAATCAGACAAGCGTGCCCTGCTAGTCCCTGCTGCTGCCTCCCCGCCTGCTGGGCCCTTCGGGCACCAGCCCTGGCATCTGGACCCCGCCTTGCTCAGCCCCACCTCCAGGCCCCCCTCGGCCCCAGATTAGTCCCCCAATAGCCATGCAACCCAAGCAGGCCCCACGTGACTCTGGGTCCACCAATGACAACTTAGAAACAGATCTGTCAGCCTGGCCGTGTATTTAATGCTTGTCTCTCCCCCACAAAAGGGATTCCTCCCTCCCGGAGGGCAGGGACTCTGCCTTGCAACCTGCCACAGCCCAGTGCCTGGGACCTGGCACGCCAGAGCCACTCCGGTTTTGCATTACTTGACTGCATGAGTGTCACTTGCAATGCTCACAGGGCCAAGATGGATAGATACACACTGGGATTAGAAAGGAAGGTCAGGGCAGCCCCTGACCCACGAGAGGGGCTTTCAAATAAGCCTCCAGGAAGCGCAAGCCACCCCGGGCTGTCCTGCCTAGTCTCCCTGGGGTGGGGGTGGGAGTGAGGACAGGCAGCTGGCCCCGCCCCACGTCACCAGTATCCCCCCTGCCTAATGCTCACCCCCATCACCCATCCCCTCAGGGCTCTGGGGACAGTGACAGGCCCTGGCTCACCCGCCTCTCCAAAGACTTTGCTAGAATCCCTCAGGTCAACCTGAGGTGGGGGTGTCCCCCCCTCCCTCCCACCCTGGGCTGGGCTCAAGGCCTGGCTCCTAAATCAGGCCTCCCCCTGGTGACTGAAAACCTCCGTTCCACCTGCTCACTCCCATAGTTCTCTCACTTGACACCTCAGAAGCTAAGATCAATGACTGTCAAAACCTAAAACACGCACGCGTAACCACAGTAACTCATCATTCCTAATAATACCCGCAAACGCTGCCTGGGGCACTGGGCGCAGGCGGACTTCACCACGTCGAGCACAGTAACCCACCCAATCTGCACACCAGCCCTTCTCCCAGCAAAGAACTGACAACCCAAGGTCACACAGGCATGTGGCTGGGGGCAGAGCTGGGACAGTGACAGGTCGAGTCCAGAGCCCAAGAGCCGCCTCTAAATGCCTCGTGTGGAATAGTCCCACGAGGGCCACCAGGGTTTTCCTGGTAGAACGGTCCCCAAGGCTCTGCTGTCATCCTCAACCAACAGGAAACAACCTGTGTGTCCATCCCATGGGGACTGGGTAAATAAATGACACTCAGCAGTGCCATCCAAACAGTACCCCACAGACGTCCTGTATCCGTGCTGTGTAATGTGCTAGCCACTGGCCACGTGTGGCTATTGAACACTTGAAATGTGGCCAGTGAGCCTGAGGAACTGCATTTTTTATTTTATTAAATTTTAATTAATTGATATTTAATTTAGCAACAGTCTGGGCCGAAGTTTCCTCCCTGCTGGAAATGAGAGGGAGCAGTGGGCAGGGATGGCCAGGGCCAGTGTCCCCGTGGGGAGGGGCTCCACAGAGGGGTCACCAGAGCACAGAGATAAATACTGGCTCCGATGCCCACATGCTCTGTGATTTGGGGCAGTTTTCTTAATGTCCCCAGGCTGTGTGAGATGGACAATGTAGTAACATCTACTCCTCAGGGCGGACATAAAGATGAAGTGAGTTCCATTTGCAAAATGCTTTGAACACCCTCTGGCATGAAGTAGGTGCCACGTGATGTTGGCTATTATTATTATTTTATTCTTGTTATTTATAGTTACAAAACCTGAGGCTCAGAGATGCTAAGCAACTCCTCCAAGGTCAGGGTCCATGCAGGACCCAAATGTCCTTTCTTACAATAAAAATCTAGTTTTGGCCAGACACGGTGGCTCAGGCCTGCAATCCCAGCACTCTGAGAGGCCGAGGAGGGAGGATCACTTGCACTCAGGAGTTCGAGACCAGCCTGAGCAAAAGCGAGACCCTGTCTCTACTAAAAATAGAAAAATTTGCCAAGCATAGTGGTGCACCCCTGTAGTCCCAGCTACTTGGGAGGCTGAGGCAGGAGGATCACTTGAGCCCAGGAGTTTAAGGTTGCAGTGAGCTGTGATGATGCCACTGCCTCTAGCCCAGGACAACAGAGTGAGACTCTGTCTCAAAAAAAAAAAATCTAAAATGTTGAAACCAGAGAGAGCTGGTGGTTGCATGTTATGAATGCGCTAAATACAACTGAATTGTACACTTTTCAAATCGTTACTTGTGTTATGTGTATTGCACCTCAATTCTTTAATAAAAAGCACAATCTCTGCTCCCTGCCTCCGAATCTGGCACTGTGTCTCCACGAGCCGGGCCAGGCTGGTCCTGGATTCCCCTCACTGCCCAGGCCACCCCAGGGCCCCTTTCCGGACCCTGGCTCACCCTCCCACAGCCCCAGGAGCAAGGGAACCTTGCCACCCCTGTTGACAGATTAGAAAACTGAGGCTCAGCGAGGCCGCCAGGGACCAAGTCAGCACTGAGCCCAGTGCTCTTGCACATAGCACACTGCACGGCGGGCCTTGGCCCAGGAGCCCACCGCACCAGCGACACCCCAGTCCCTGCCTGGGTTCTGATTTTGCCTTCTTCGCTACCCCAGGCTCCAACTGTGGCCCCTGGAAAAGATGGTACCCCACCATGAGGGTCCCCAGAAGGGGTCCGA